GAATTGGAGCATAAAGTGGCAGTCTGGGTAGTGGGCGCGCCTTGATACCCGGATAAGCGCGAACGACAATGTCCACATTGTCCCCGCAGTAGGGGTGCTGATGGATACCGACATATATCTCTCTCTCTCATCTCTCACACACATCTGGACAGAGTCAGGAAGACCAGACGTGGGATCGGGCGCATCCAAATCTGACTACATCGGAAACTTGTCAGGCGTAATGGATATTTATGCAGAAAACGCTTGGTCATGGCCAAATTCCACTGCCCATTTTTGAGAGCTACGTCGGCACAAAAAAATGCATAGCAGCATATTCGAAAGAAACTTGCGACAGATTTATTGAAATAAGTCGACCCTGCCGTGAGATAGGCATATCGAAACACGTTGTATAATTAATGTAAAATCAATTTGGCCTGCGTTGTCGCAATTAGTATGAGTTCGGTAATTTAACAATACGTGCCATTAAAGCAGTAAGCAATCGCACATTTTCGGTGCGCAGTACCGTGTGCACCCAAGATTGTTCTTCCCAGTCCACCCAGTGAATCACATGAGTTGGAGTACGCCTGTGTAGTTTATTGAGGAGATATGATCATTGCGGTTGCGGTAATTGGATGCCGTTGGAGAAGCGGCCGGAAAAGCGTGGGTGATATGAAACCCAATTGTCCGTTATGCAGACGCTTTAATTTTACATGCAAAATGTTGTCTTGAATGCACGTGTAACGATGGGTAGAGTTCAAAATTAAAGCCAAAAGAATCGGTCGATTTCAAGCATAAACTGGACGCAATTTTTAACCACTTGACTACAGGAAGGAATATTTTTCTTGAATGTTTTCTATAAAATATATCTGAATTTGTAATGACATCGAAAATGAGGGGAAAATGCAGACCAACTCAGTAGTTCTTCTAGGCAGGCGGGTGAAAAGAAGCTAGTTCGAAATTTGTCATCCAGGCGTGAATGTAATATCACAGGATCATGTAGCAAGATGGTTAATATTATAACCGTACTTGAGTAATTTTTGAATGAAGGACAATTTGCAGAATTTCGGTTAATATTTCAATAGATAGCACATCTAATGTTTTAGCCGCTTTTGTGCATTTCCATGGACTTACAATTGGCAAAATATAACAGCCTGGAGAGGGCGTCTTAGAGCCAAAAAACGAGAAGTTATTTTGGATGAAATTAATGATGGATATGGGGTACTTTCATCGCAAGATTTTGACCAAAGCCTGCATTTCAAATACCTTTTTTCTAGAGCAGAATGTCAAGCATAGCTTATCAGTTGAGGCCGAAAATTACTGTAGAGTAATCATTATTGTTGTTTTGCCAAGTTATTCGCAAACGCAAGTACTAAATGGCTTTTATGTACTTCTCGGTGGTGTGGTACAGTGAGAGAATTCGGTCACGAAACAGAATGCTGTGCCTAGGTGTTGACTGAAGACACATCTGAACTGATTCATACGAAATAAAATCATCATTTATGTTTGCACTCATACAATCGCAGTTTCGTTTGCAAACAAATTAAAGCATTTCTGAAACTTATTATTACTGGCGATGATATGTGATGATTATACGCACACAATTAGTAGGTATTACATACTGGCGGCTGTAAGACTAATTATTTTACAAATCAATCACATGACATTTCAGACACTTCAGAGTGTTGGATTTTGAGTGATCTGCTTTTCGGCAACCTACAGGAATCCT